GGGGGGGGGGGGGGGGGGGGGGGGGAATGATCAGATCAATCAATGGCTCCTTGGACAAGAGGAGAGCAGGGGGGGAGGGAGGGACTCCGTTTTGTGCATAGACGTGTGATGCAATGGGATTGGGGTGGTGGTGGATGTAGTGCTATCGCTCCTGGTCAGTGAGTGACACTCTCGTCCATGCGGCAGTTTTCCACACTCTTTTGCCATGTCTGCCTTCGTGCCGACCTGGAATACACACACACAGACAGATGCACACATGCGCCTGATCTGCATATACACACACACATACTGGTCTGGCCGGTCCTCTACCGCATCGGTGCGCATGGCATTGCTCATCAGATGTCGAGCTTGGCCTGCAGACGTGCCCAGGCTCGGGTGACAGACGCCCAGCCTGCGGTGCGTCTGTCGTCCTCGTGCTCCGCCATCTGACGAGAGCACCATGCTAATCGGCGGACAACAAGGGAGAAGATGCCACACCTGTCTGTCTGTCTATCGTGTCATCGGCCTCCATCCATTGATTCATCAGATGCGGCCGATTCTTGCGGTCTTCGCTGTTGTCGAATCAGCACCTTTCCCGCGACATGAGGACCGGTGCTGATAGGGCAGCAGCGCAGAACTCAAAAATCGGGCGTATAGAGATGTCACAGACGATTGCAAGATGAAATGCTGTGTGTCTGTCTGTGTGTGTGGGTGCTACTGAGAGGCCGGCAGCTGTTGAGTGAGTTGGCGCGCGCTGAGGGAGGGCAATCAGATCAGATTTGGTGTGGTGTACCCACCGTCTTCGTGGCTGATGACACTGATCATTGTGTGATCTGTGCACACACTTGAATGCGTGTATGTGTCTCACGCAACAAGACAGTAGCAAGCATCCACCACCACCCTCTCTCTACCAAAAGAAGAAGTCAGCAACTAAGCTAAGCATATCACCCGACATACACACCGGTCGTCAGGCGCATCTCGCATCTCGCATCTCTGTCCGTCCGTCCGTCTACGGGGGATTAAACATCTCTCTGTCTAGCTAGGCTAGGCACAGGCGGGGATCTTGAGCTTGGCGGCCACCTTGTCGCTGAAGGGGTACTGGCCGTACATGTTGCCGCCGTAGGGCTTGGTGGTGGACCCGTACACGCAGCCCGCAAGGAACGACCAGCGGCCGCTCACCTTGCCGCACCCGTGCATCGCACAGCCGATGTGCGTCACGCTCTCCCACATCAGCTGCGTGAAGTGACCTGCACACACGCACAAAAAGGGGTGGAGGGGAGTGGGGAGGGGGGAGGGTGTGTGCGTCACACATACCGGTCATGACGTATCTGGGGTCTTGTGGGAATCCCGTCTCAGCGGTGCATTTGGAGTTGGGGTATGTGGTGCAGCTGTTGCCGATGGGGCCGTACCGGTAGCAGTGCACCTCGTCGTACCACGAGTTGGCCACACCCGCACCTTTGGGCTTGGCGGACTGGCTGCCCCAGCTCATGTATAGGTTCTCACCGACTCGCTGGAACTTGCCCACCTGCACACACACACAAAGAGAAGGTACACGTGTGTGTTGTGTGTGCGGGGTGTGTGGTGTGTGAAGTCAGTCATGTCAGTGACCTTGGTGCGCTGCTGGTTGGTGCTGTGCATCATCCTGCAGCTGTTCTGCTGGTGGAGGGTCTTGAGGTGGCCCCGCATGAACTTGGCCAGTGCACCGCTCCACTTGACCGGTTTCAGACCCGCTCCCTTGCGCAGCTTGTTGTGGCCGTTCAAAATATCTGGTTCATCACACACACATGACACACAGCACAACACATGAAGAGGGAGAGGGGGAGGGGGAGGGGAGGGAGGACAGCAGGGGGCCCGCTCACCTTTTTCGAATTGTGTTTTACCTTGGGCAAACTGGGATAGTTCGGTGGTGGAGTTGTCACCTATGCCGATGAGCTTGGCGCCCTCATCGCCCTCCTTGCCGGTGATGCGACCCAGCCACCGGCCCAAACGCGCTGGCAACACACACACACGCACGCCCCATCCACACACAAGACACACACAGAGGAAATGCATCATTTGTCTGTGTATCTTGGTGTTGGGCTGTGTGTTGAGACGTTACATGGCTTCTTCTTGTCCGTGTCGGTCTCTGTGTCGGTATCGTCCTCCTCTCCGTCTTCCTCTTCTCCATCTGTGGATGGGGCTGGTGTGGTCTTGGCCGATCCTCTCGACGAGGGCGCTGCGGTGGACGTGGACCTCCAGTTCTTCCACTGATCCAACCCTAACAGACACCACACACACGCAGAGAGAGGGAGATGGAAATGTGTGTGTGTGTGTGTGTGTGTGTCCTCTCTCCCCTCTCTCTCTCTCTCTCTCTCTGTGTGTGTGGGTGTGGGTGTGGGTGTGTGTTGGGGGGAGGGGGCTGGTTACATCCGTCGACGCCGCCCGAGCTCGTGGGTGCTGGTGCAGATTTGCCGGCGGCTGCCGGGGCACTCGTGGTGGTGCTCTCCATCATACCCCGCATATCATTCAACCCTGATCACACACACACACACACACCCCACAAAGCAACAACCCACATCGACACGCGCAGTCCGGCTGTGTGTTTCCTTTGCTCACATTTGCTTTCGGGTTCCTGCTCCATCGTGGCTGAAGGGGCCTCCGTGGGCGCACTGGTGGCCGAGGAACCAGAAGGGCTGAACGTCGGGCGAGTCCACTCTGACACAAAACACACCATACAAAACACACCACACGTGACACACACACCCTCCACCCATCTCCCCTCCCTCCCTCCCCTCCCCTCTCTGTGCAGCCCGCTCACTTCGCTGTCCGATGGTGGGTGTGTCCTTGGGCAGGTCGATCTCCTTGTTGGTCGGCACTGTCACCGGCCCCCAGCTGCCGGTCTCCAGGAACACCACTGGATGGTGCGAGCGGTGCGACCGCAGATGCTGCCGCACGGGGCTGTCCACCTGCAGGGCCATGGACGTGTCGGCTCCCTCGTCCCCCTGCTCGTCCGCCTCGCCGGTCTCCTCGATATCGGTGTCCTTCCACTCGGTGGCGTTGCCCGTGTCGAAGGAATCCTCCGCGTCAGACTCGTCGTCGGCGGGATCTGCCGCCAGCAGGACGATGGGCGATGCGTCGGGGTGGGAGAAGTGGTTGTGCTGCAGCAGGTGCTGCAGGCGCTCCCTGTGGGAGAGGGAGAGCTTGCCGGGGTTGATCTTGTACCGCAGCGGACTGGGGAAGTGCTGGCGGCAGCCGGAGCCGATGTTGTTGTCGGCCGTCACGTTTTCCTGGAGATCTGCGTCATCCGCCGTGTCGGTCGGGCCCGCCCACCTGATGGTGATGTTCCTCTCGCCAACCGGCACATCCACCGACACCGGCGCGTCCTCCTCGGCGAGGCTGACGGGCGCCATGGTGTGCTGGAAGATCTCGCGGGTGTTTCTTGCCGCCATGGCCGCGGCGCGCCGCACCGACACTGCGTACGCCAGACAAAGGGCGAGGAGCTTCATTTGGGAGGAGATCTTCATTCTTCCGGCAAAGGCGGATGGGCTGGGTTGCTGCTGCTGCGGGAGAGGGATGAGCTATGAAGGGATGGCTGGAAGGGAAGGAGCGTTGAAGAAAAACGATGAGAGAAACGTTGGAAAAGGCGAAGAATGAAGAAACGTTGGAAAATGACGGGCGTCAAGGTCGATCTGTCAGTCTTGGCCTGGAGAAACCCTAGATCTTTTTACGCGCCGGCTGCACTGGGGCTCGGGTGCATTGCAGATATATCTTGCACTCTACTGCATGCCACCACGAGAAGGTCGCATCGTACTGTGTGCCCTTCAAGTTAGAGTGGGGGGCGTCT